AAAATAATCCCGCGTCTCAGCTGGTGAGGTCTATTCTGATAAGGCAAGTAAATACATGTAATTATGAAGTTAACATTTTCAAAGAGGAGAGTAATCCCTTCCTTATCCACTGGTAGAAACAGCTTGTAATTATTATACGGAGAACAAAGATTTGGTCTACAAAATCAAGCCTGACTTGACTGACTAAAACTTTTCTCATCAGGACATTTCTAATACATGTGTGTGGGCCACACAATGTCTTTAAAATGTGGATGGTGAATGGGTGAGACTTAGGCAAAGATGTTAGATTTTCTTCAAGCCAGGGAACAAATAAGAGAGGCCATTTTCTTCATTTATAGGAAACACACTACTAACCAAATATGCCATCTGGCTTTTGAAATGTTTGTTATCTTGATCATTAAAAATGCCACAGTTGTTCAGACTCAATAGACATGTGGCAGAGTGTCTGAAACTTAGAAAGCACTTAATCAATGTTAGTGACAGTGGGGATTATTTCAATTCAAACGCTGGTGAAATTTTTTTACCATACCTCATTTTCATATATCACTGGGAAGACTGCACCCTACTATAATTCTCCCTATAGTTCCCACCCTGACTTTCCCATGCCCATCAACTATGCAAACATAATTCTGGTCCTCAGATTGAAAACTTTCAGTCACCCCTCTTTTTTTCTCATCTTCTTTTCCCTCTTTGTTTTTGCTTCTCCTCCACTTGAACCTCTAAGTGCAGTTCTATCTGGATATTAAATTCTACCTACTGTTGTAGACTTGGCTAATAACTAGATTTTTTCACTCTACTATTTTAGCCATGCATATTACTGCAAAGCCATTACTCTCTCCAGGATAGCCTTCTAATCTACCTGGGTCCTGAGTTTCAGTGTTTACCACTGTCATGATGCCAGTTCCAACTTCCAGTTATGGAAGATGACCTCCTTATGAGCCTCTACTAACTCCTTCCTCCTTCCTCTCCAATGATTCAAATCTTACTTATCTTTTCAGACTTGACTTGGAAACTCTCCATACATATATTTTTTTCTGTTAACTCACAACTGCAAATCTATTATAATTATAATAGGCAAAAATGACTAAGTCTTAAAAGGGGATATATTTTATATATAAAGTCTGAGTCATCATATTCAGTTCCTCAGGATATAGGATATTGCAAGGTCATCAATGTTTCCAAACACTGAACAAACCAGGCTGGTGGCTGTCTGGAATTTCCTGATGTCTATGGCTACTAAAATAGAAGCAGGTGCTAAGTAAGGCAAACACTCACTAATATTTCATGTTGTCTTGTACAGTCAATTTTTGTTTTTGTTTCTTGTTTTTTTACATTTCTGCTCCTCTTCCTTGACATTTAAAGCTCCATGATCTGTACTGGGTATTTACTAATATATTACTCAACTAATTAAAAAAAAACGAGACATACAGCTTAGAAGAATATTTACCTAAAAGATGCACATCTGATTGTCTAACAAGCTTAGAAATTTCAAAGTGCCTTCCTAGTATCTCAGACAGAACCTCTGATACAACCAGCAGAGATTAAGGGAAATAATTTTGGATGTATTGTCTTACATATTTCACCATATGAATTCTCCCCACGCATTTGGTGCACACCTATAATCCTAGCTGCTCAGGAGGCAGAGATCAGGAGGATCACGGTTTGAAGTCAGCCCAGGCAAATAGTTTCGCGAGACCCTATCTTGAAAAAACCCTTCACAAAAAAATGGCTGGCAGAGTGGCTCAAGGTGTAGGCCCTGAGTTCAAGTCCCAGTACCATAAAAACAAAAAAACTAAGCATAGTGTGAAAATAAAAGAAGTGCTTTTTTATTTTTAAAAGAAAAATTAAAAGTGAGGTAAATTCCTAGGAATGTATAAACACTATTAATTTTTGGCCTCTGCTGACAATGTAGGCCCAGGGAGTATCACTAGAAAAAAATGAGTCCACTATAATAAACACTCATTACAGCCTAAGTGTTACAGATCACTATCACTCCCCCCAAAACAGTCTGATATCAACATTCTAATCAGCATTATTCTAATACTGATGAACTCATTAATGCCTGGACATCTTTTCAATGTAGTGTTGTCAACTATTAGCATTTTATTAGTTTTATTCAAGTCAATTATGTCGCATTTATACATCTAAGAAGATTTAATTCACTAATATGTTTTAATGTCCATATTGGACTTTGCCATCTGGAGCTTCTGCTGTTCTCAGTTTTCTTTTGTGAGCATTATTCGTATCCAGTCCATATTGTGCATATCTAAGATTATTAGGGAGATAATCTCAGGGAAGGAGAAAGGAGTGCTGTAGAAAGTGAGATGAAAGAGATATGACAAAAGGAGGAAATAAAGACAAAAGCAGGCTGCAGTGTTCTGGACTCCTGTGTGGGAAGGAGAGCACAAAGCAGGGTCAAAGTACCCTTGGACTTAATCTCATGGAGACAAAGGTCTCCTGGCAAGAGGACATCAGCACAGGACCTGGGGAAACTGAGCTGAAGAAATCAGCTCAGTGGGGCTGCTTGGTTATAGAAGACTAAATTTGGTGACCATGTGGATAGGATTTTTGGATAGTTTTCTTATTTCAATGCCTGGCTTTGCTTCCCTATTACCATGCTCCTCAAAGTGTATGAGAGGGTCCAAACAGTAAAACCAATTTCCACAGTAGTGGTAGTAATTACTAATAATCTCTGTCATTATTGTTAAATATTACTATTGCAATAATTCCTACTATGTTGACAGTTGTTCTGATGGGACAAAGGTAATGGTGGGTAAAACTGCTGTCACATTACCACGGAATCCGGCACCAACTGCACAGGTCTTCATTGTTCTTACCACCCATACTCACAGTAAAAAACTGCCAGTTTCAAGTGTGAATGGTAGAAAGGATACTGGTTATGTAAACCTCAATCCCTGTGTACTTTTTAGTGACCAAATGGGAGGTACACAAAAAGCACTCCTGCTGCATCGTGAAGGGCAGCTGCAGTGACAAACAGCCCTGTGCACCTTCTTACTTTTCCATGTAACATCACCTGTACTTAGAACAACTGACACACCATAGCTGTTCAGACTTGATTTTCTGCCAGATATTTTCACAAAAGTGAATGAAATGAGTCTGTCACTTCAAGGACAACAACTGACAGTTGTATGGCTTAAGATAAAATTTGTACTTTAAACTGAAAACTCAAATTCTTGAAAACTTTCATCTGCCACTGTGGACTTGACAGCTTCCCAATACTTACAGAAATTTTCTGATGAGAATGGTGGTGATACTAACAAATGTGAATTTGTTGCCATTGTGTTTTGAAATGTGTCAACCTTTAGAGGATCTACATAATTGAAAATTTTAAAAAATGATCAATGCATGATATTATGAGTCATGCACAGGTAAAATCAATTTAATGTTTAAGACACAGCAATGAAATTTAATGTAACAAAGTATGAATAGTTCATTGAGATTCCAGATTTCACATTAAAAGTAATCTTTAGTAAAGAAACTATTACTTATAGACTTTTTTTTAATTTTAGAATTGATATGGTACCAAAGAAAAAATTCACAATTAGATGAAAAGATTACTAAGAACTCCTTCTAGCTGAGCATAGTGGTGCTCACCTCTAATCCTTTCAGAGAAGACTGAGGAAGGGAGATCAAGAGCTCCAGGCTAGTCTGGACCACACAGAAAGCTCAAGGCCTGTCTGGGCTACATAGTGAGAGTCTGTCTCAAAAGAAAAAATTCCTCCAGATACATATCTCTGTGCAGCCAGAACTTCTTCATATACTTTTAACCAAAACAATTCATTAAAATGGAGTTAATACACAAGTAGGTATTAAGCTAGACAGGAAAGGGACATGCAAAACTGTAAAACAATGCCACTGTTCTTACTAAAAATTTTGAAAAGCAGTTATTTTTCATAAAATATATAACACTATAATCTCTCCTTATCTGATTTCCCTTTCCACAGTATTGGTTACTTGTGGTTAACCATATCCTGAAAACATGATTTGCCTTGATTCTTATAAAAGAAACTTTTATTACAGTAGAATGCTATAATTGTTCTATTTTATTACTAGCTATTACTGTTAATCTTTTGTCACTTTTATCACAGGTATGCATAAAAAAGTATATATAAGGATTATTTATATCTATAGTTTAAAGTATCTACTAGAACATATTCCCCATGAGTACAGAGGGAATACAGCACATATACTATTTTATGTATAAAATATGAAATATAAAAATAAAGTTTTGTTACTTAAAAATGAATACATATTTCAAAATTCCAAGGAATATGTTACCAAATTTATTTATTAAACAAATTAATGAATTATTATTGACAGATACAACTCAAAATAAACAAAAGTTCTTTAGAGCCTTCCTCAATTTTAAAAAGTAAAGGGGTCCTGAGACCAAAAGGCCTTTTAAAAGAACTGTTGCTTTCCCCCATGATGAATAATTCTTGGAACATTTCTCTGAATGTTTTCCCCATAACACATATTTCATAAAATGATTCATAAAAGAAGGGGTTCTAGCTAGGTGTCAGTGTCTTACACCAACAGTCCTAATTTTAGTTACATGGGAAGCTTAGATAGGGAGGATCATGGTTCAAGGCCAGCTGGGGCAAACAGACACTGAGATTCCATCTCCAAAATAACCAGAAGAGCAAAATGAACTGGAGGTGTGCCTCAAGTGGTACAGTACCTGCTTTGCAAGTGTGACGCTCTGAGTTCAAACCCCAGTCCCACCAAAAAAGGAAGAGTTCCACTCTGGAGTAAGTTTAGAAAATTTAGAGAATCTTAAGACCTGCCATTCCTGAAAAGCTGTTCTTAAAACCCATCAAGTCAACCTATTTATACATAGTCAGTGTTTCCACTTAAATCAGGAAGTTTGTGAATCTAATCTAGGTAATGAATTCTTTTCTATATCTCATTCTTCATATTCTGTTGGTCACTTGACCTTGGAAAGAGGTATATGAGCACATGAAATATGCAAAAGTCACCTTCAAGTCGGACTACCAGAGGCACCTTGAGTTCAAGCTCACGGCAGGCCTTAGTGATCCCATTGGCAATGATGGCACAGTTGACAATACCACCAAAAATATTGACAAGGATGGCTTCAACCTGAAATAAAAAAACAGGAAGATGCCCATCAAAAATTTGACAAAGTCTCAAAAGCAACTGGCTAAATAAAACAAACAACTAAAATAAGACCTCTTGGTTTTTGTTTGCTTTTACACAGAACATAAAACAAAAAACAGCCAGAATATGTTAAGAAAATTAAAATTTAGCAATGAATAAATAAGAATATACATTACATTATTAACCCATACTGCCTCATTGATGACGCCTCAGAACTCAAAATGAAATTCAATCACCATTCTTTATCTATTTATTATATATTGTCTTCTGCATTTTACTTTTAAAATAGCAATGTGGAACTGCTTTTTAAATTTTTTGGGAAGAGTGTCATTTAAAATTTCATGCACTTATGTTTCCTCTCCCCATGGTGCATATTTAAATTTTTATCTGTTATGGTGCCAGATAAAATAGTTCAAAACTAGAACTCAAAATTTATTGCTTTATATCAACAAGAGTCCAAATTTTCCATGCTTTCATAATACTGTTTTGATATGCCAGAGGTGCACTCTCAAAAACCAGAGATAATTTAATTATCTTAGATGGTAATTTTTTGATTAAAAAAGAAACACCCCAAAATAAAGATAGGTAAGTTCATACCACGGTAATGATATAAGGGAAGTCAAGCTACTGACTGAAAATTTTCACAAACATAAATTTAAACCCAGCATTGTTAATCTATTTGTACATAGTCTATATTTTAAGGCATGTGGGCCAAAAAAAAAAAAATACTTGTATTGACTTGATAAATAGGTATAAGAAAATCCTGTATAATTAACATGAAGAACGAGATAATGAAGAGAATTCAGTACCTAGATTAATTGATAACACCCACAGAAAATAGCTGTTCATCAAGCTTGAGGTATCAAAATTCCACAGTCACAACTGAACGATGCTACGCTAATTGCAAAGCATGTAGTATGTGTTGCATGCCATTTTCAGACGCTGTTGCTTCAATATGCTACATTAACTCCACATACATGAAAAAAGAATACATTACATATGTAGAAAGTACCATTAAATGAATCCTTATTTTTTATTCTGATCCTTCTCACTATAGAAGGTTGGCCCTCTATAGTGGATAAAGCCTTTGGAAGCATTCAAGGTCACAGAGCCAACGGGCAGCAGTGGTGAGGCTCAACGTCAGCTCTCTAGAATGCCCAGTAGTTGTTCATCCATGCCTACTGATTGCTGAGCTGGGACCCTGGGCAATGGTCATGAACATGGTTTCTCATCTGTAGAATGAGAACAACAGTCTCTAGTCTGGAAGATTGCTGAAAGGCCTAAATGAGATGATACAGGTGGAATGTTTAGCACACGGCTTTAAATGTACTTAATGGATATTTATACATTTACTCAGTAAGCAATGATGCAAGTGGGCAGGCTATGTAGACAGCAAGTAAGCAAACCTTTTCCAATACACTGTAGCTATGTTGAATGTGAATATAATGGAAACACGAACTTACTAAAGTTTAACCAGAAGGGAATATCTTAACAATAAAATAAATGAACAATTATTTTTCAAGCCAATTAGGGATTGGGGCTACTCCCAAGAAAGAAACATCCCAATACCATTCACAGCAGGCCAACTGGTAAGCAGAAGCTTGCTTTCTAATGACAGCTATTAAATGCTGTTAGCACTGAGGCTCGATACAACAGCAGTTTCCAAATAGCTGTGGGATGGAGGGGAACATGCCAGAACAATGGAAGAAAAAACACTCATGAGCAATAATGACTCCACAGGGTCGGAAATAGAAACTAAAGAAACACTGAGGCTATCTAAGGTTTGTGAGGGAGAATTAGGCTTTCCAGTAAAGCCCACACTGGCACCTATATGCCCCTGCAAATGTTCCAATTGCACATTTTTCCACATAAGTTCAGATGTCAACTTCTGAGGGACACTACTGTCTCGTTAAGTTACAGAGAATCACTTTGCTTAATCTATCTAAAACAGTGTGACTGCACTATAGAGTCATTATACTATTTACAAACATGTGAATGTGCCTAATTAGGCAGGAGCAGGGGGTGAGAAGGAGGAAGATGCCTGGAAACCCCTCAGTGGGTGAATGCCTTGGGGGAGCCTTAAACACAAACTGAGATCTGTTCATGTGGGTGTCAGTTCCCATGAGTCCCTCAAATGTCAGTATCTCATTGTGTTTCATGAGAATACAACATTGAAAATAGGTAGTCTTGATACAACAACTCACACCTAAAGGTAAGTCAACTACATCAGTTGGTCATGAATTCACGATCTGAAGAAGAAGGGAGCAGCCAAGAATATAAGCAGAGATGTTACAACATAGCTAATTGAGGAACTAACTATAGTTGAAAGGGGCAGTAATGTGAAGTGAGGCCAGGAATGGGAATGTAGCTCCTTTAGCTTATCATTTCCAGAGCTGGGTGAAGGCAATGTTTGACAGCAGCTTCCCATGCAGTAAAGGGTGCATGATAAGACAGTGATAGAGGGAAAGAGAGAAAGTAAGAAACACTGGGTAATCATAAGATGATGAGAGCTCATGAGAGGGAGGGGAGGGGAGGGAAGGGAAAAAAATAAAGAGAGCAGAGTGTGGTAGGACACAACTGTAATTCCACCACTTGGGAGGCTGAGGCAGGAGGATCATCAGTTCAAAGTCATCTTGGACTACATAGTGAGTTCTAGGCCAGCATGGGCTACATGGTGAGAGCCTGAGTCCAATGAAGATAGAGAAAGAGAAGAAGGGAGAAGAGGAGGAGAGGAGAAGAAAAGGTAGAGCAGAAGAGAGGATAAAAACGGTGGAGCAAGAGAAAACAAGCTGTGAGAGAGATGGAGGATGAGAAAGTCTGACAAGGCCTAGCAAAGCAACAAGGATTTCTACAAGAGTAGTGAGACAGACGTACACAGGCTGCTTGGCTCATGGAGATGGGGCTGTTCAAGACATACATTGCCCCACTGTGCAATGACAGGAAAGGTACCCCGTGGCTGGTGGGAAGACCCCCTCCACAGAGACTCTGCCGCCCCACCTTCTTTCCCACTGAGAGTGATTTGCTGCAGTCATGCACTTTAATGGAAATCTGATTTAAGGTTTCACTCTAGGCCAATTTCTATAATTAACTACTGTAATCGGCAATCTCAAACTGAGAATGAAATTAAGACAGTTTAAAAATGAAAGCCTCGTGACATCATTATTATTATTTAGCATTTATAAAGCATGTCAGATTCCCGATGTGTGCCTTGCGTGTTCATTCATTTTTCAACCACTAACTGCTGCTCAGTGATAATACTCAGAGCAACTTCTAATTGCCTTTTTTGTTGTTGTTTTTCCTGGCAAAGGGAATGTTGAGGTATAGGGGACTCAGTCCTAGGTCTTTGTAAGTGCCCAAGATGCTCCCAGAAGCTCCTTAAGTGCTGGCCTTTTCTAGTTGTTGGGTGAGAATTATAAGGGTTGCTATTTACTGTTTCACAAAGTAAAGATCATTTAATGGGGCAGTTAAGGTGCCAGATAACAGAGCTGAAGTCCCCAGGTCCCAGACAGCTGTTTCCATATCAAGCCAGTGGCAAGTGGTGGCAGTTGTGCAGGTGACAGGGCAGCCCAAGTGCAGGTTTCTCAAATGTCTCTGTACACATTTTGGTTGCAGATTTTAGTCCACAATGAAAAGTAAAGAATGAACTTCAAAAGAAAAGCTGTAGCCTTTGCTATTTATCAAGCACCACTCAAATCTCCACCCCTCCAAAAAAAACTCAGTATGAAAACCCTTTTGTTTCACAGATCCTTTTATGTAACTAATAAACATGAGGGACCTCATGTTTTGGGATAATGTTAGGTAAGTCTCACCATAGGAGGTGGCCTCAAAGGCAAATGACAAGTGGTAGCATATAACATAGGTATGAGTTTTGAGGGAACTGTGAATTCTTTGCAACTATGTGTAAAATTTTGTTTGAATTATGTAAGGATGCTAGGAAGCATCCATATCAGTAATGACAAAACAAGTGTTATATTCACTAAGCATTTAAGAGGTTGCAGGCGGTATCATAACTACGTTACATTAATACATTATTAATATATTAATAATATATTAATGCATGAGTACCATTTAAAGTGGGTATAATTTTCACCCCAATCTACAGATAAGGAAATGAGGATACTGAAAACCAACAGGGCTTCAGCTTGTCCACCATCAATTGTCCTTCAGAGCCAGCAAACCTAGAGGCCCTACAATACTTGCTGTGCTTAGAATTTTCTCAGTCATTACTACAGCTCATTCAGCTGTACAGACTACTCATCCTATTTTACACATGAGAAAACTGAGACTCGAGATAAAAAAACAACTTGTACCAACTTATGCAGACAGTACATCGGCAGGCTTAAAAATTCAGTTCTTTTGCAATCCTAAGAGGAACGTTTATAGCTAGGAGTGCATATACTAGAAAGACAGAAAGAGCTCAAATAAACGATCTAATGCTACATCTCAAACTCCTAGAAAAATAAGAACAAGCAAATCCAAAACAAGCAGAAGGAGAGAAATAATAAAAACAAGGGCCAAAATTAATGAAATGGAGACCAAAAAAAAAAAAGCAAAGAATCAACGAAACAAAAAGCTGGTTCTTTGGAAAAAAAAAAAAAAAGATTGAAAAGCCCCTGGCAAATCTGACTAAAATGAGGAGGGAAAAGACCCAAATTATTAAAATCAGAAACAAAAAAGGGGAGATAACAACAAACACCAAGGAAATCCAAGGAATTATCAGAAACTACTTTGAGAACCCATATTCCAATAAATTGGAAAGTCCTGAAGAAGTGGACAAATTTCTAGATACTTATGACCATCCAAAACTGAGCCAAGAGGATATTAATCACCTAAACAGATCTATAACACATAATGAAATTGAAGCAGCAATGAAGAGTCTCCCAAAAAAGAAAAGTTCAGGTCCTGATCAATTCTCTGCTGAGTTCTACAAGACCTTTAAAGAAGAACTAATACCAACCCTCCTTAAACTTTTCCACAAAATA